TCTCAAGCTAAGTCGGGAATTTCTAATTTAAATCAAAACACTCACGCACATGCGCAGTTACAAAAACAAAAGTTACAAAAACCGCGATCTGCATACGATTTAAATGAAAAGCAAATAACAAAAGTAGCACAATAGAAATGAAGTTCAAATCAAAGCAAGAAAAAAAATCAAAATAAAAAAAATTATGAAAATATCAAAGCCGCAAACGGCGATGAGCTCAAGGCCGAATCAGCAACAACAACATTGAATAACACCAACAAATGCCGCAAAGTTGAGTGAAATTTTTGCCAACAATAACGAATCAAACGACGAGGCAGAATGGGTGCCTTGAATTGGTGCTACCACAGAAATCTATGAAATGATGACGGTTAAGGATGACAATGAATGCTTTCAGTATTTAAAAATATATACACGTATATATGTATTTTTGTGTTTGTGTTGCGCGTTGATCAAAGGGTGCGCCCGGCCACATTGCGGAAATTCGAGACAATCATCTGCGCACTCGAAAAAATAGCAAATAATATTATATATATATGTATATACATATGTATTGCATATATGTACCTAAATAAGGTTATGCCATCTAACACATGCAACATTTTTAACAACAAAAACATTGAACACTCAAAAATACAATAAAAGCAATTACAGTCACTACGCCTTCCATGACATAGAAGTGCAGATACGAAATAACATTGGTATATACTCGTATATATGTATTTATTTATGTACACGTATATATGTATATTTCGGCAAAAGCCACAATGACGCACACAGATCCTTGATAAATTTCCTCCCAACAGTCATGCGAAAAAACATTGAAAAGTATTATTGTTGTTGCTTTGATCCTTGAAAACTGCGAATTCATCAAAGGTAAAGCTGCGCCACTGCCTTGGATCTCACCTAACTACAACGCTAATTTTTTGAAAATTTGTCGAATAATATGAAACTTCGGTACGTGTGTGTATGTGTTGTCAGTTGTTTGTGTCATATGGTTGTTGTTGTTACCTCTGTTAGTGGTTGAAGTTACTCGGCTGTTACTCTTTCGGTTACAAAAGGGTGCTGTTGATTGGCAGTTGCAGCAGTTGATTGCTGGTGAAATGGGTTAGAAAGCCTGAGGATGTCTGAGGTAACCACGAAACGAGCAACTTTTTGTATTTTGATTGCACAGATGCCACAAATTGGCATGATTGATTTGGAAAAAGACTAAGAGCTATGGTTACTTTGCTCGCTCCTCTTTCGCTGAAAATGCGCTGAAAAATGAGTGGCTGACGTCACGTTCGTTTGGTTGCTGATACGAAGATCGAATTTTAAATACCGAATCGGGGCTGAGCGAAGCTTAACATGGTGACAGCATCAATTTTGCGTTCTTATGGGGAAAGTACAATATATGACGAGTTACGAATATGGCTTGTGACTATGGTTACGATGATCAGGTAATCGGGTCTCTAAGAGTAGATCTTCAAAACAACTTCCTCAGCCGCTTTTCTTGAAAAGAGTAGATTCTCACTGCCTCGAAATCCCTGTTATTTTACGTAGAGGTAAGTAAATAGACCCGCAACGTCTATCGATACCTTGAAAAGGATGTCGGACCACATATATTGAGACACCAGCGACTTATGCTGTACCAGCGACCTGGCGACATCTCATCTTCAGTGTGTGCAATTATCCCTCGTTTTAAGCCACTAGCTTGAAGATGACGTTAGTCTTATGAAAGGCTTTAAATGAGTTGAAAAATATTGCTTTAATTAACCAGGGAGGAACTAAACCCAGAGCTATGATGATAGCGTTTGAGATGAACTAAGAAGAGTTTAAAATTATTTGTTTTCATCAAATTCCACTGCGTTTTGGAAGTTGCTGAATAACCGCAGAAGCACTGGTCAGCGAGCTCCGCCTCCATTTTGCGATGAGCATCTTAACTGCTTTGCAGCAAATGCACAGATCCATAGTTTTTTGGAAGCCGCCTCCAAACCGCTTATTTCTCGTCAAAAGTCCTTTCATTGGGAATGAGATTCCCCGCAGAGCCCCAATTGCATTTGAAAAAAAACCTTTTTCATAATTTTAGATGTTTGTATGGATAGAGCACGAAGCAACACACGATTCAAAAAACTCGGTTACTGCAGTCGCTCTTCCAAAGTTGGTTTACGTTATACTAACCGGCTTTAATAGAAGACCAACTTATTCATCCCACATAAACTACTTTTACTCTATCTCCCTGAGCTATTCCTTTTTTGAAAGAACTGGTTAGCTAATCTGCTGACTCGCCACTTAAAAACCTATGTGCTCGAATACTCAGTAAGGAAGTAATGTGGAAGACCTTGACAACGCTTAGATTGTATAATTAATTGACTAGGTTCTACAAAAATATCGAACTGAGCCTAATGCTCTGTCCATATATTCGGAAAACAAGTTAATTTTCTTGTTGTAAACTTAAAATTTATATCCACATTGCTTTTCGGTAGGTTTTAGTCGTTGGTCGGTTAAAAATGCCAATTCGTTGCGATACAAAGACCCAACTGTCTCGTTTTTGAATATAAGTCACTTTGTATGACAGTCCCGCTTAAATAAATTCTTGAATCCCTAACCTACAGAACTCGAAACACGTAAATCATCTAGGCCGAAGTAGCCTTTAAATGCTGCTAATAATAACAAACAGATTGACGGTAAAATACAAAAGAGTTTGATTGTAGGAATTCATGAAATCCGGTCCAATACGATGAATCGCAACTGCAATCAATAAGTTCTTTAGTCGTATTACTTCATTGCTCACCAGAGAACAATTGTACAAGGCGATTGTAATACTGAAAGTAAAATTTATACTGAATCGCCCAGTCCTAAAGCTAAAGATTAGTGCCCTCAATGACTTCCCCATACTTTAAATCTTGCTTAGCATTCTTATACCCTCCAGCTTCAGGCGTGGAACTACCTAGCCTTTTCGACCTTTTACAGTAATACCACCAGTCCAAAAAGTCGTTACTCCAAGCTGAGTTGATGATTTCTCTTAGCAATCATGTTCACTGGGTCGAAGTCGAGGTCGAAAGCAAAAGAAAAACTACAGTAAGAGGACCCCAAGTGGCAAAACCCATTTATTAGTTGCTGGTTTTCCAGCGCTCAGACTGCTTGTCGGATATTCCTGACTTTCGAAACTCTCCAAACCTACCGACTCTTTTGCTTGATTTATTATTATAAAATTTTCTATTACTCTTTAATTCAAACCCAATTCCAATCAATTAAATCCCTAACAAGCTTAACCACGCATTATGCGCTTAAATTCCATAAATTGCCCAGGCTTATCGGCGTTAATTCTGAAATTATTTAAAAACCAATAAATTTACAAAATATTGATTTAGAATTTGAAAATTAAAGCGACACGAAAATTAAATGGGATAAAATAAAAGGATCGTAAGGGTGCGCAACCGCATAAGCCAGTTGAGTGGGAATGGATTATGTGTGTGCGCAATGTGACAAAACCACGCACGCACGGAGTTCACACTCATTGATTGTGTGTATGTATGTATTTATGTATGTAGTATTTATGTGCCAAGTCCGTATGATAAATTCCTCACACTTAATTGGGTGAATTTTTAATTTGCCAACGCGGCAGGCAGCCCAAAAAATATTATAAGGCAAACAGAGTATGTGAAAAAAGATCCTGACCTTTTCAATGACCTAGAGCGTGTAAGTGGTGCTCCCGCTGCTACCAACGCTAGCGCTATCAGCAACACGATCTCGCATTTCATCGACATGATGGGGGATGGCGCATGCAAACGACAGCTCAGATTTATGACAGGAGCCCAAAAGTTAATGGAGTTCTGTGTAAACCAGCTCAAGGACAGTCACACTCACGTGGCCCAGAGATTGTCTCGTGCGTTTAGCAGGAAGATACATACTCGAAAACTTTCCGAATTCTTAAGACGATTTTTGCCCGCTCAATGGCTACAGCATGCATTGCGGAAATTCGTCTCTATTATCCAACTGATGCTTCTGAGATCGCAACAAAGTGTGCTCATCTACTATCAGCGAACCCAAATGTGTGTCCAACCTAATGTGAGGCGATCACCAAGTGAAAATTCCATTGTTGAACACGTCTCTTCAAGCGCGAAGAAGTGCTTGTCGACTGCATCCTTCGGCGGATGGATGAAGCTAACGGCAGTAAGTCTCCTTCAGTACATACTACCAAAGAGCAGTGCGACGCTTCACTTTACCAGGGAACACGAAGTAGCGTCGATCCTGACGGAATAAGTTTGCTGACGCTAAATCATTTCGGTGCAGCGAGAGCAGACTATCTCACCAAGGTTCTCAACCTGCCTTTAATCATTTATGTAGAATCACGGTTAAGTGACTTCTTAATAAAACTCGAAAAACCCGTTAGTGAGGAAAAGGTTTAATCGCATGCTGTCCCTCCTCTACGCAGTACCGAAGACTTTTGAGGTGTTACTGTCCCATCATTCAACTATCATCAGCAGCACCTCAATATGGCTTGGTAGTAATAAACTTGTTGTAAACTTTCAACACGGACAATACTCCTGATCTGGGAAAATTAAACAATTTCTTCTCCTATCACTTGTGACTTCCGTCCTTTGCCTCGGCTCTCACCTGCGGGGCCTCTCACATATAAGCATGCGCTGAGAGCCTTTGACATGTGGTCCCATACAGGACCAGTATGCCTTATACATAGCATCTGCTGTCTGCTTTGCTATCCACTAAGCCAGAGAACTTAAAATAAGTTATAAGTTCTCTGGCGCTCTACATTTTCAAAAGACTACACCAACAATAAAAATAGATGTTAGCGCTATCTATGCGACGCCATAAGTAATAATTGTGTGGAGCTCGAATAATGCCAATATAAAATTGTGCCCACTAGAGTGCGCCCCACCATCTAGCAAAGACAACCACCAAAATAATACCTTGTTGTGCACACTTTTTCATACACTTTTCTCTTTTATTTGTTACTTCTTTTTGCATACTTGCGGCAGCGGTCTGCTAGACGTAAACAAAATTTCGCTCGGTTCATTTTAACAAAAACTTGTGAAAAATTTGGTTACAAATTATAAAAAAGTGTAGAAAATATGCGTAAAAGATATAAAAACACAGTGATCAATTAGAAACTGCAAAGCGCAAACTGTAAAATGGAGAAAAACAACATAGTAACCACCGGCGTGTCTACGCTGCCTACACAAACAGCGGGAGGAGTATCAACTACGGCAGTGACGTCGACGCCCGGTGTAATCGGCGGGAGTAGCAGCATAGCCCCTGGCACCGGCAGCGCAACCCACCAACACCAGCAAGCAATAACAAAAAACACGAATAACAATAATGGCAGCAGCAGCAACAACAACAACGGCAATAACAATACAAATACGAACAGTAGCACAACAACGACGACTACAAGTAGCAGCAGCACGGGCACCAATACGGAAACGATCGAATGTGTAACTCTGATAAGCGATGATTCGGACGTGGAGGAAATGTCACCCAAACGCAAGATTCCCGCTAATGCGGCTGGTGGCAGTGGAACACCTAGTAAAAATAAATTCGACGATGACTCCAATGATGCACAAGGAGGTGCTGCGGGAGATGAACGACGCACAAGCAGGCGCAATAAACCAAAGGTAAGCCGTTGCAATGGTTTTCGCAACTGTGTAATAATATACCCATAAGCGTGCAAGTTTACAGTTTCAAATTATTGACAGGTTGATTACTATAACAAACCGACGGCTGGAAATACAGACTCAGGTGACAAACCAAGTACACCTTCAAGCTCATCAGCTACTGGTGGCGTCGAACGACGTACGGAAAGTGGTAAAACACGCAAAGGTGATGCGGCACGTAGCCCCTTTCCCAAAGAGATTACTGATCCGCGAGAAGCAGCTGCTGCGGCTGCGGAAGCATATAAGGAAATACTGACGGGCTTGGAAGGTGCGGCATTTCAATCGCGTCTGCCTTTTGACAAAATGACATCTAGTGAAGCTGCCTGTTTTCCCGACATCGCCAAAACTGGTTTGGTTGCTCAACGTGTTTTTCTCAACATACGCAATCGCTTGCTGCAAATGTGGATTGAGAATCCAAAACAACAGCTGATTGTCGAAAATGCCATAAAAGATATAGAACCACCATTCGATAGCGATCCAAATCTGGTGAAGCGTATTCACTCATTTCTGGAACGTCAGGGTTCCATCAATTTCGGCATTTTCAAACGTTTGCGTCCCATACCTACTAAGAAACTGGGTAAAGTTATAGTAATTGGTGCAGGTATCTCAGGGTTAGCAGCTGCACAGCAGTTACAGCAATTCGGTATGGATGTGATTGTACTTGAAGCGCGAGATCGTGTCGGCGGTCGCATTGCCACTTTTCGTAAAAATAATTATATAGCCGATTTGGGCGCTATGGTTGTGACAGGCGTTTGGGGCAATCCGATGACTATACTTAGTAAGCAAATCGGCATGGAGATGGTGCCTATAAGACAAGCGTGTCCACTGTATGGCGCATGCGGCAAACCAGTGCCCAAACACAAGGACGATATGGTATATTTCTATATATTATTTTTTCATTAAATTTTATCTTCATTAGTACAATATACGCATTGTAGATCGAACGTGAATTCAATCGTCTGCTTGAATCTGCCAGTTACTTGTCGCATCAGCTGGACTTCAACTACGCCAATGACGATCCCATATCATTGGGGCGCGCATTAGAATGGATTATAAAATTGCAAGAAAAGTCGGTGAAAGAAAAGCAAGTACAACATTTAACATGCCTTGCAGAAGCACAACGTGCGGTCCTCGCAAGTCAGACTAGTATCGCAGAGTTGAGAGAAAAAATAAAGAACTATAAAGAGACACATGCGAAATTGCTCAAGACACGTCCCCTACGCAGCGGTGATGGTGATACAGCGTGGGTAGAGCATGAATTTGAAATACGTTCCACACATTACGAGTGGACCAAGGCGTGTAAGGAATATGAAGACATGCTTAAGGAGCAGGAGACACTCGAAACAAAACTGAAAGCAATCGAAAGTAATCCACCGAGGTATGCACATACGCGATTTCCTAAATATTCATATATATATTAACAATCATATATACTCTCTTTTTTTTTAGCGACGTCTACCTCTCGTCAAAAGATCGCCAAATTCTCGACTGGCATTTTGCAAATTTAGAATTCGCCAATGCTACACCTCTCAGTAATCTCTCTTTGAAACATTGGGATCAGGATGATGATTTCGAATTCATAGGCAATCACACAACTGTACGTAACGGTTACTCTTGTGTGCCCATTGCTTTGACGGAAGGTTTGGATATACGCGTAAATACCGCTGTAAAAACGATTAAATATTTTGATAGTGGCGTGGAAATTGTTACGGAGAATTTGAAAACAAATAACTCTTCAGTCACTTACAAAGCAGATATTGCGCTCTGCACGTTGACGCTGGGTGTACTGAAAATCGCCACTACAAAAGTGCAATCTCAACAAGCGAATACAGTGAAGTTTGAACCGCCACTGCCCGAATGGAAGCAAGCGGCTATACAGCGTTTGGGTTTCGGAAACCTAAATAAGGTTGTACTTTGTTTCGACCGCATTTTCTGGGATCCCAACACCAATTTATTTGGCCATGTTGGCAGCACAACAGCTAGTCGAGGTTAGTTTTTTTTCATGGCTTTTTTAAACCCTTACATACTTTTTTTTAACACATTTTCATGCACATGGCTGTAAATATATCCCTTATTTTCAGGTGAACTATTTCTTTTCTGGAGCATCTCACAATCGCCAGTGCTACTCGCATTGGTAGCGGGCCAATCGGCCGCAATCATGGAGAATGTATCGGATGATGTTATCGTTGGTCGTTGTATTGCTGTTTTGAAGGGCATTTTCGGTAACGGTTCGGTGCCACAACCCAAAGAAACGGTCGTTACACGTTGGCGTGCCGATCCCTGGGCACGTGGCTCATATAGTTTTGTTTCTGTTGGCTCTTCTGGTAGTGATTACGATCTACTAGCTTCGCCTGTTATACCAAAGGACCCGGGTAATGAAGATACCAATCAGGGAGAGGATGAACTGCCACGCTTATTTTTTGCCGGCGAACACACTATACGAAATTATCCCGCCACTGTGCATGGCGCATTCTTAAGTGGCCTGCGTGAGGCTGGTCGTATAGCAACATATTATTTGGGTTACCCGGAGGGTACGCCACCCGATATTGGTTATTCGGTCGTGGAGGCGGCCAATACAGCCTCGGTGGGCGGAAATGTGGATATTGTTGATATAGCACATTCAACAGATTCATCCTCAAAAACTTCCGAAGAGAAATCAAACACTGCCGACTCGAATGAGTAGAGTAACATGAGGAAGAATGATCAATGTAAATGTGTATGTGTGTCTGCGTTGCGTGCATGTTTCTAAACTACATTTATTTCGCACATTTCCTACTAAATCTAGCATTCTTGTCTATTAACTGTGCTTTTAATTATCTTTTGCATTACTTTGTATCCGCTCTAACCTTCCTACTTTACTTCAGAGCACACGTAATTTTGGTTTTATGTGGCTTGAAAGCTTTGAATTTGACTAAACTTAAATTTGTTTTTATTAAATATATATTTTAGTTATGAAACGCAATAAGTGTTTGCAATGGAAGTGTGTTCGGCAACAGAAATTGAATGTTCCATTTATTAACTTAATCTTAAATGTAATCATATTAATAATATAGTAATTAGATATGAGACCATTTCACCGACAATGAATTCAATATACATACATAAATAAAATTCCCATAATTTGTAATTTCTGTAAATAACTCTTCTTTTAATGCTAGAGAGAATGTTTCCGACATAGGGAAGTCAACAAAGAAACTCTGTTAGCGATTATACAACTGAATTATTCTAATTTCGGTCTTTGTCATCTTAGAGAAAACAGCAGTGGGATATATGCGATTGTTCGTTCATATATAAAACTAGAAAATCCCCATCTCAAATCACCGCTTCTTTATTTTTGAAATATAAATCTTCATATGTAAATGTTTCATTCAATACGTCACACAGAAAATTTTATCAAAGTCAAATGACATAAAACAATTAAACCTAATGGCGACGACGACGACGACTTCGTGAACGTGACTTCCTACGACGACTACGACGCGCTTTGGCCATACGATGCTTACGGCACTGACTGCAATCACCCAAACCGCCATTCACACATTCATAGCCATCTGCAGGCTAGATTATAGTAAAGAATTGTGCAGAGGTTATAACTTCTATTAAAACGCATGCGACTCAAATTACCTGCATTCTTCGTGATTTTCGCGACGTTGTCATCGTACCGCATAAACTATCGTCACTTGTCTCAGCTGACATGTTGCAGTAGGGGCCAGCATCACGTCGATCATACCTACGACTACTATGGTGTTTATCCATATTAGTTTCTTCTATGCCATTGCCCAATGGAATACTGCTGTGGTTGTTGTTACTGTGGCTCTCCTCATTGACCACATTTTGCGATTGGTCTTGGGACACGCATGAGTCTAAACGTGAGGCGCTCATTTTCAGCATTTATAATTTTTTTTCTTTAACTTTTTTTTTACCAAATAAATGTGCTATAAAATGTTTAATAATGAATTTTGCGCTTTGAAAAAATCTCAATCACAAAGGAAATGTGTCAAAAAATGCTTTAATTTTTCTCATTCGCCTGCTATATGTAAGGGAATTTCTTGAATCCAGCGTTGTTAAATATAAAAGCTGTTCAATTAAAGTAGTTAATAGAAGTTTTTTTACAAAAGATATTCACCTTAGATGCAAAATATTAACGCTAGCAAATCAATAAACTGCTATGGAAAAGGGGGGGGTGGCAAAAAAGATCTTGGATATCCAAGACAAGGAAAAAAGATTTATGTATTTAGAAACGCCACAACTTTAATCAGCGCTATTATAAACTATTATAAAAAAAAACTCTGAAGTGGAATAAAATATCTATTATAAAAAAAACTCTGAAGTGGAATAAATATCTTACTGAAAACATGTAGATCTATAAGCTAATGGGCACAACAAAATCAGAAGTGGTATAAATACTTTGCTGAAAACCCTAAAGGAAAGCCAAAGTGTTATTATGGAAAATAAACTACCACATTGCGAAACGGTGGCAATCGTTGATAGTTGATGGATAAGTAAAAATTTATATTATATGCCGGTAAAATATCAACTGATTCACGGTATATTTATTTGTAATTAACAAATTCCTACATTAATTTATTTATTGAATTAAAATTATCCATCTCCCTATACCTCAGTATCTCAGCCAATGGTAGATTACTGTACTCAATCCAACCATGTTACAAAGTGCTAGTTCCCCCAAGAAAGTGGTTTATATCTTTCAAAATTGCATATAATAATTTTAAATTGATTTAATATTTGACTCAAAAAAGAACAAAGAAAAAATATGTGGTCAACAACTTCATCTGTATACGTAAAATTAATACCTGATGTTTGCATTATTTCTAAATATTTGCAAATCCACTACTGGGTCATTGCGCCGTTAAAACTATTCATATATACACGTACATACATGTACATTTTTATACCCTCAAACGCTATTAACATTAGAAAAATCACTATACTATGATCACTTAAAACAAAAGCGTGCATTGCATACACGTATGTACAAGGAAGTATAGAGCCCAGCACTGACCTAATTATTTCAATTTTCAAATCAAATTTATACTTATTCATTAAACCTTATCAACTAAGCAAACCATAAACATGTAATGGAACTACATTACGTATAAGTAATTTCAGAAATTCTCGCTATCGTTGCATGTTCATTAGGTAGACACAGAGTAGTTCAATTTATGAAAAGAAAAAGTGTATGCATGATCATATACAGACCACGACTCTTCTTTGTGAAAAATTTTCAGAAGCAACACATCCATCTTCTCGATCATTTACTGTGGGAATTTTGAGTTTTTGTAGAAAATAAATGAAGTGAAAGATTTTTGATAAATAAGAGTATTTCTTAGGACGCAAGACCTCCAGAAGTCTTCGAATAACCCTAATATTTTCCTATGCACGAATGTACGTGTATGTACAATTGTATTAATATTCAACATACATACACACGGAAGCTAATCGTAAATTCCATTAGAATACCCCATTATACACATTCATCGATGTTTTTAATACTATTTCTCGCTCACCCGCTCACTCGTTACGAGTTTAGAAATTTTTAATTTTTACAGTGCACCTGCATACGAACTTAATGCATAGGCCAATAACCGTCCTTGAAATCAAATATGTATATACAGTTAATTTACTCACACTTGAGGTACTCTTATACTTTAAGTTATTTGTTGCTATTTATAAACAAATAATCATGATTGGGGTTGCAGAGTGTCCAAAAGTCCCACTATTTAGTGATAAATTCTTATCACCAAACTTTCGAAAGCAATAAGCGAGATAATAGAATTTCTCTACATCATTATCGCTTGATAACATTTCTTGTTTCTCCAAAATTTGTTATTTTAATAACAGTTATTTAGTTTTGGTTAATAAAAAATTAAGACAAATATTTCAAGTGCAATTCGTTGCACGTCGACTGAACTATAATATTTTCATTTTGTTTATGTTGCATTTGTACGCAGACTTTTAATTCAAATTTTTAATTGAAAAAAAAATATATGTACATATACATATAAATAAAATAAAACAATATTGTGTGTGTTTTTTTTATTTTTTTTTTGTTGTATGAAATCAATTACATTGCAATACGCAATAGAAAACTATACATGCTAAGAAGGAATTCTTAACGTTCGTTACAAAACCGCTAAATAGTTTATACCTTTTTTTTGAAATGTGCGAACCATTTGGTTTGTCCTATAAATACTGAGATATTACCTACATAATTAGCTCAGCTATCGCCGCAGGACATTTACCGAAGTTTTTCACAACAGGCCCCTCGTCTCCCCATCAGCGACAAAAGTCATTAGGGTAGTATGCAATTATCTTACCGTAATCCCACCCTAAATGGTGTTTTATAATTACAACAATCATTATACCGATACAAACCTGTCTAGAAGGATTTAATGTCGTGTTCTATATGTCTAGTCACTTTGCATTTAGTTTAGTTAAGCCATCTGATATGGGCATCTTTGGAACAGGCTAGTTTCAGCATGAGCTTTGCCTTCGCCAGGTGTAAACCAACATCGTATCTAGAGTGGTCCCTACCTTCGCTAGTTCGTCCGAAGCGCAGTTGCCTGGAATATCACTTTAGACTACCAACCAGATCACGGCTGTGTTATATGTATCTATTGAAGGCTTGTTCAGATAGCTGCTCATCATCTCATCATCACCACTTTTTACATTAAGTAGCTTAACTGTCAGAGTATATAGTAGTATAGTATAGCCAAGTAAGCTTGCTACAGTTTCCGTGGTGGCAATAAGTTTTAGTTGAAAGACGCTACTGGGCTGATAGCATCTGATTCATATTGAAACTTATCTTATAGCTCCCTCAACCTAGTCTGTAGTGAAAAAGAAATCTTCAAAGCAGAAACTGGAGTCAGCGTATCCCAACTTCTCCGGAAATTTTGTGAGGATTAGATTCCGGCAATAACCCCATTTCATACTAAAAAGGTAATGGGAAAAGTGTTGATCTTTTAGCGTAGGCTTTAAGCGCATGTCAAATATGGCCACCAAAAGAGAGAAAACACGCAATATTCTAAAATTTTCCCTTCATAAAGGCGAAACCGCAAGTCGTGGAGCTGGAAATCTGGTAAGCGTTTATGATACTAATACTGTGCTGAATTCGTTGATTTCTGACCGGTATGCGAATCCTGCTTCGGAGCTAAACATAGTACTAAAAAGAGTTTGAAACCACTTGAAAAATGCTGGTTACACCAAGATGCTCGATGTATGGGCGCCACATAAGTTAATCAGAAGAAAATTTCTATCTGTGAATCGCTGCTGAATCGTATAACAGCAAAATCGAACCATTTCTGAAGCGTATGGTGACTGATGGTGAAACGGCAAATAAAAACGATCGTTGTCGAAGGAGAGTGAGCCGACACAAACGGTATACAAGCCAGGATTGACGACCAGTAGGTTTCGCTGTGTGTTTGATGGGTTTTGGCATCCAATATGAGCTGCTTCCATATGGCCAAACTCTTAATTCGCACCTGTTCTGTCTTCAATTGGACCGTGTGAAGGAAGCAGACGCCCAGAAGCACAAAACTTTGGCCAACAGGTGAGGAATTATGTTTCATCAGTATAACGCTGGACCACACTCACCGATAGTGACTCGTCAGAAGTTCCAAAGGCTCGAACCCTATAGTCCGCGCCTCGTGCCAAGTGCTTATCACAGTCGGCTTCCAGTTATCTGACATTAAACGTGTTTCGGCTTTATCGTGCTACCTTCTTGTCTAAAAAAAATCTACCATTTCAAAATAAAAAATATGAGAAAATTTTTTTAAATTTTTTTAAATTTTCAAAAATTCAAAAATCACATATTTTCCAACCTCTGATAGTGGACGTCATCGAGTGTATGCCTTTCTTGATTTTCGTATTAAAACTTTAGTAAATTATAGGAAAGTCTCAGAAAGGGAAGAGATTCCAGAGCCCAACAAAATTTAAATCGAACTCAAGAAGAAGAAGGCGCTGGCTGGATTTGTTATATTAACACTTGAATTCAAACTAACCGTCAAATATATTGATATTAGACAGTTAGTTAGTTAAAGAGCTTGTTCGATCACGCAAAACGGATCACTTGATGATACTTAGGTTGGTTCTACGAAGAAAATTCCTGTCACCTCACTAGATGCTCAAACCAGCTGGTGTAGTTTAAGAAGTTCAGGAGATTAATAATGCCACGGCATGCAAGTTATGCTAAGTAATCGAAAAAGAAGTTTCGGAGAAATCGATAACGAGAGTTTAACGGGGTTATGACTATCTCCATGCGGTCAGCTCATCGATCCCACAGTTCACTGCGTGTCCCAACAACCAAAGCCTCAAACCACAGACTTTTATCATATAGTTGAGAAAATCTAAAAGCCAAAGATTCGAAAAAAAAAAATTAAAAATGGCAATTTATTTATCTACGAGGTGTGTTCAAAAAGTATCGCGAATTTTTCGATTTTTTTGTGCCGGTATTCATGTCTGACACTTATGCCGACAAGCTCGGCTATTTTGAATGTTCACTTAATTGTTGACAGCTGCTTTGCTTGCACGTGTTTTGGATGGTCTTCGATTTTTACCTATTCAAATAAATGGATCAAAGAACCTGTATAAAATTTTGTGTGAAAAACGAAATTAAGTGCGCGGATGCATTCCGAATGTTGACCATGGCATACGGAGAAGCTACCTTGGACCGAAGCAACATTTATCGGTGGTACAAAATATCTCAGAAGGCCGAGAAGATGTGAACGACAAAGAACGTGCCGGACGCCCGAGCACTTCAACAACAGACGAAGAAACTAATTACAGGGGCGTGGTGCATCATGAGTTCTTGCCACAGGGTAGAACGGGCAATAAGGAATATTACCTGCAAGTTATGCGTAATTTGCGCGAAGCAATCCGTGAGAAACGCCCGGATTTGTTGAAGAACAAATATTGGCTTTTGCATCACGATAACGCCCTTGCTCACACATCGTTGCTTGTGCGAGACCCTTTGGCTAAAAACAACACACTAATCATG